TTCTAGCTATATAATTTTTGGTACCCAGATTTTTATATAGGTACTAAAGAGTTTTTATAGAATATAGACTTCTTGAGTGATCCAAAAAGCAAAATGAATACTTTAGTACCCAGGGTACCAAAAAAGTGTCCCAGAACTTCCTTTTTCTCCCTACTTGTTTGTTCAAGGTAAACTTTTTTTTTACTAAGTTAATAGCTCATATAAAATAATTGAAAGTTGTAGAGTTCATTGAGACGCACTTAACAGTAGTTAAATTGTTAAAATTGGTCTAATGCTTGCCAAAAAATTACTAAAAAACTATTAGTTGACTATATAAAATTTTATATAAATAAACCCTATAGTTAAAATTTGTTTTTAACAATATCTTAACAATCACTAAACCAAATTTAATAATTTAACTACTATTAGATGCATCTCAATAAGCTCTACAACTTTTACTTATTTTATATAAACTATCAACTTAGCAAAAAATCTCACTATTTTAGAAAATATTTTGGTTTATATTATACAAAATTTTTTTTTAGTTTAATCAAGAATCATCAATTAAATTAACTATTTCTCTAATTTAAAAGATTTTTGTAAAGTATATTGAGACATATCTAATAATAGTTAAATTATTTAAATCAGTCTAGTAAATGCTAAGATGTTTTTAAAAAACTTTTTTTAATTATATAAATTTTTTTATAAAACAATAATATTGTTTTAAAAAAATTTATATAGTTAAAGAAAAGTTTTTTAAAAATATTTTGATATTTACAAAACTGATTTAGATGATTTAACTACTATTAAATATGTCTCAACAAGCTCTACAAAAGTTTTTTAAATTAAAAAAGTAATTAACTTAGTATTAAAAAAGGTTTTAAATATATATATACTATATTTATAAAACTCTAATTTCTATAAATAATCTATATCATATTTTACTATTATTATTTTTTGGTTAACTTGTAAATTACTAATTAATAAAAAATACAAATAAAGTTACAAATCTTAATTTTTTTTAATTTGAATTCAAGTTTAAAATCAAATAACAATAATAAAACTGATTAAAATAAAAGCCAAAATGCTATTAATAGAAATAATAAAAATTTAAATTCTAATATTAAATTTTTTTTTTTTTAATATTAAAAATAACCTTTTTAGCTATAACCTTTTATTAAAAATTATAGTAAAAATACAACTAGCCATATATATAATTTTTAGTTATCTAATTTAAATAGTTTGTCTAAAGTTTTATACTAGCTACTATATCTGCAATCTAACTAGAAGATTATCTATTTAAACTCTCTAGCTATTAGCAAAAATATGACTAACTATATATACAACTTTTAATTGTTTAATTAAATAGTCTGTTTAGGTTTTATTCTAGATATCATATTTACAATTCAACTAAAAAATTATTTATTTAAACTTTTTGATTCTAATTTACTTCTAGTAGAATCTTCTAATTTGGTTGTCCAAATTTTATTTATATTTTAGAATTTACTAATTTTAGACTAGTTTATTTTTAAAATAAACTTACTAGAACTTTCTATATTCTATTCTAACTAATCTAGTACTATAGTTGATAAAGCTTTTATTTGCAATTAAGATTACTTCTATTTAACTACTATACTCTTATAAAATTTGCTTTAACTTTAGTATTTATATTCAAACTTCTATCTTTTACTAGATTCTTAATTAGTTTCTTTCTTGCTTCTAGCTAATAATCTAAACAGATTGATCTTAGCTTAGTATTAAATACTTTTGGCTTATCTTTTTTTAGTATATACTTTTAAAGCACATGTTTTTTCCTTTAATGTAATAGTTCTAGTAGTTTAGTTGGTAAATTACTCTATTTAAAAATTTTTTATTACTTAATTCTCTGATTTTAGGCCCACTTTTAGAGTTGGTTTTCTTATAGTATTATTAAAAGTTTTCATTATTTCTTTACTTTGGTTTTTCTAAACAGGTTTCAATTATTTTAATTTTTTGGTATTTATATACTAAAGCTTCTATTAAAAATAGTATTACCAAGGTTACAGATTCTAGATCTAACAAATTGTCAAATAATTGTTATTAAATATAGATTTATTTTTTGAAATCATTATTTGTAGGATTTGAACTCTAAATCTACTACTTGGTAAGGTAATAACTAAATTATTTTACTAAGTTGCTATACCTTTAATATTAAAATTATTTAAAAAGTAGAGAAATAAAATATCAAACAAAATAAAAAAAAAGTTAAATTAAATATATATACTAATTCAATTAAATTAATATTATATAGATATGATAAGTTAGTAAAGTAGTCTAATTATTATTTTACCAAGTAACAGGTTTAAAGTTTAAATTTTATAAATAATAATTTTGAATAATTGTCTATATTATAGTTAATAATTATCTATTGATTAGTTGAATCTAGAATCTGTAATCTTAATAACACTATCTAGAATAGAAGCTTTAATATAATAAAATCAAGAAACTAGAATAACTAAAAATCTGTTTAAAAAAATTTAAGTAAAAAGATAGTAAAAACTTTTGACAATAAAACAGAAAGATTAAACTTGAAACTAGAAACTAAAACTGAAGAACTAAATAACTAGGTCTTTAAATAAAAGAACACACTAGCTGAACTGCTGAGTTGCCAAACTAGAAAAAAATATATATATTTTAAAAATATATATATATCAAAAAGAAAATATCTATAAAGTATTTAAAATTTAAAAAAACTAACTTTTTTAGATTACTAGCTAGAAGTAAAGAAGGAACTACTGTTGGCCTTCCCCAAACTGATCCTGTCAAAATTGATAACCTGCTATAATCGGCTAAAAACTAATCCACCGATCCTGTTCCTTAATTGATACCCAACAACCTGCCATTTCTGATATCCGATAGCCTTTTTATTTAAGTTTCTGATTTTCTATAAGAGGTCAGCCAATCAAAATACACTTACACATAATTTTTAGCCACATATAAATTAAGAAATTGGCCTAATACTAATGAATTAAACTTTTGTATTATGAAGTATAACAGTCATTATTTATTGCAGCATGTAATGCTGTAATAGATCACCCAATGTTCTACCAGCCAAATGTGGATTAGACATGAACACTGTTAAGAAAAATGTCAGGTAGTACTTTAGCTAGTAGTAAGTTACTTTTACATTATTTAAACTTAATAATGAACCTTTATTAATACTAATCATTATATAAAAATTTTTTAAAAAGATAGTTTTGTAGCTTAGTAAAAGTACGGGTTGTGTAATATTTAAAAGTGAAACCTGTAATAATACTTTCATATAAAGAAATAAAAAAAAAAAAAAAAAGCCACACCTGTTTTTATGATAATAAAGCTTTCAAAGTGAAATTATTAAGGTTTGAAAAAGAACCATTTCATTATAGGTTGAACCTGTCTTTCAGTCTTCTCTTTTTAAACCTCTTCATAGATACAGGATTGTAGTTTGTGTAAGGACTTCATCATTACCCCACCATCATCAATCCTCTCATCAACAATCTTCAGAGCACTACGTAAAATATTCAACTGCTCCTTTTCAGTTAAGAATGGTATTATGACTTCATCTTCTATTTGTTCTATTTCCTTGATCTGGATAAAGTCTTCCTCATTAAACTGCTAGTGTAACTCTTCATGTTCTTCAGCTTTTAACAAATCTTCCAGAGACATTGGATTGTGAACACACAACGTATTAATCACTTGCTGAAGTTTTTTGGCATCATTTGGATCTATAGGCAAATATTTATTTATAGCTTTATTGTTATTAACAAAAGTAGGAGTGATAGGTGTTCCATTATCATTGCAAGGAGATATAATTTTTGTATAGAACCAACAATTTTTGATTGTTTTAGTAGAAACTTCACCCCAGGCAACCTTTGTCCATCTCATAGCTTGTAGCTGATCAACTTCGTATATATCATGCTCACCAGCTTCATCACAATCTATTGCACGCTGAAGTTGCATATGCCAATAATGAAGTTTAAATGATGCAATAATACCAGCATCCATAGGCTGTATTTATGATGTAATATTTAGAGGCAGTAAGAGTACTTTTACATAGTATTACAAATTGTTAATTTGTTGATTAATTTTTTTTAGTTAACAACTAGTTGCAACTCATCGATTAATTGATTAATCAATTAATCGATTAGTTGCAATTAATCAATTAATCAATTAGTTGATATTGACTAATTGATTAATTGATTAGTTTGTATCTAAAAAATTTAATCGATTAGTTGCTAATTAATCAACTAATCAATTTTGATTTGTAACATTACCTTCACATTAGTCAAAGTAAAAGCTCCAGTAACATGTGAGGGGGTATTGTCAAGGATTAGCAAAATGTGACAGTTTGATTCCCTCATTTCTTTATCTAATCATTCTATCTATTCCTGAAAAAACACAGTAGTCATCTAAGCCTTTGTATTATTATGATAATAAAACCCAAGCTCTTCTCCAGTTTTTTTTTTGAAGCACCTAGGTTTTTTTGCATGCCCAATAAAAAAGAGCTGAAGCTTGTGGGTACCGTTGGCATTGGCTGTAAACGCGGTAGTAATTCTAGTACAGGCTTTTTTTGACCCTTCAATTTGACAAGATGCAATTGTACGATTAGGAGCCATAGCATAAAACAAATCTGTCTCATCTATATTGTAAATATCTCGCAAGGAGTATTAATTAGTAGTACAAATAATATTGGAAAGGTTTAAGTCAATTGCAGCTATATCCGCAGAACCACTCTCTCTGTGCAATCTAAAATGATAAAAGTTGTATCTTTCTTGGAAGGCTTGCAACCACACATTAGAAAACTCAGGTTGGTTACTTTCAGAAATATTCATTAGTTCTGCAAATCATTTGGCTTTAGCTTTAATTATGTCTCCACTCAAACGTACTGCTCAATGTTCACATTGTAAAACCCAATTCGCTAAAGTGGTATCTAGCTCAGGAAACATAACAACATGATGTTTTTTAACACCAAGTTACTTGAAGACATTTCATTGAACTTGTCCTTTCTTTTTAAAATATCTGAAATTGTACTTTGACCTGGAGCTTTTAATAGCTTAAATTCATTTTTAGCCCATTCCGCAAGTTCTCCTTAAATAAGTTTTGGGTTGGCTTGGTAATAGTCGCATATTAATTTTCTTTGCTCATTACACAAATTTCTAGTGAAGATGACCTTATTTTTTTTCTTCCCCATTATAATGGCAAGATAAAAGTTAAAAATTATAAGCAAAGAGTAGTATTTAGTATTTTATTTTATTTAAATACTAATTGTAACAATACATATTAGGTCAAAGTTCAAACATTGAAGGCAAAATGATTTCGAAACTAAAAGTAACAACTTGAATCTTATTAATATTAAAGTACAAACTAGATTGTTATTAACATGATTTTTTTTTTTTTTTTTTTTTTATTTTATTTTT